TGAAGAGCCTTTTTAGTGGTTGCTTTTGAATAATTATATACCATGCTTGACTTTCCTTTCACATAATATGAAAATTTTTATTTTCTTACTCTCTATGGTAACTGCGAAGATACTTCAAGCCTGTTTATTTTCTCTCTCAACTATGGACCTACTTTCCTAAGGAGTAAATCTGGAAATACAAGCAGGGATGGTGTAAGTAGTTTAGGCTGACAGAAACATATATTTCAAGATTCACCTCTCAAGATCTCCACATTTCACCCAGTCAGGTCAAATTGTTTTCTTTTTCTTCTTTTTAATCCCTGTTCATTTTTACATCCTGTGACTTTCCTGCTGCTCAACAGGGATTGTGCCTTTTTCCTCTCTTTCTCCCTCTTCCTTGGCTGTCAACTCCATATTCACCAACACGGAGATGCTTTCCCTGGTCATCCTAGACAGAATCCAAGGTTCCTGCTTCAGCTAGGGAAAGGCTGTGCACTATTAATTTTTGAAGGAAGTGCTGTGAGTATTGTATTATTTATAATTTAAAAAAAAAAAAAAAACTTCAGCCAGGAGTGGTGGCGCATGCCTGTAATCTCAGCCCCTTGGGAGGCTGAGGCAGGAGGATCAAAAATTCAAAGCCAGCCTCATCAATGGTGAGGCGCTAAGCAACTCAATGAGACCCTATCTCTAAGTAAAATACACAATAGGGCTGGGGATGTGGCTCAGTGGTTGAGTTCAATCCCCATTACCTGCCTCCCGCCCGCCAAAAGAAAACAACTTCATGGTTTCCACATTTACACTATATCCAAGTTTATTCTCCTAGAAGAGTGAGGGAGCCCAGGCTAGCTGACTGCAAATAGTAGGATCTAAAAGACAGCTCAGCACAGAAGCATTTTGGTTCTTCCCCTGATCCTATCCTTGGTTGACTTTTCTAAGCAGATCCCATAAGCATCCTAAGGGACAATAGATCACTGTCCCCATCACCCTGCCCTGTGACCTTGGAAAGGAGGAAGTCTAAGGGAGAAGGCTGCAAAGCCATGGCAGCGGGGCAGGGTTGACAGCTGATAGCCCGCTGAGCCAACCCAGCCACACACTTAGTACTTCCCAGAGACTTTTTCCCACATGCTTCCATGGTAGCCCAATTAGATCAGTCCTTTTGCTCAAAGTATTTTCTTCTGAAAATATTTAGAAAACTCTAATGCTCATCTGCTTTTGCTTCTATTAGTAAAAGAAAAAAAGCATTTACTCATTTAGAGATCTAGCTGGCTGTTGCTGATCACATTTGATAACATTCATAAAGTAGCTTGTTTATTTTCATTATCTCATTTCTTCCAACCCATAATAACTCCCTGGGGGAGGGGGACAGCATCTGCTCCTGCAAGAGAAATAGCTACAGCCTTCTCCTTGGTTTTCTGTAGGCTTTAAACTCCAGGGAGGTTAGTGCTCTTCATTCTTTTGGATTGCCCGTGTTTCTGCACAGAAATTTTTGGAAAGGAGAATTGTAATGTTGAAGTGTAGAAAAGCAATAAGCTTCAGATGAGGTACTGAGAAAGGAAAGAAGAGACCCGGGATGGAGCCCAGTGGTAGGCTACTTGTCTAGTTTGCTCAGGAGGACCTGGGTTCCATCCCCAGCACCACTCCCCACCCCCACTCCCCCCCAAAAAAGGAGGGGAAGGAGGTGGGAGAGAACAGAACAAGTCTTAGAGAAGGTTTCAAAGACCTTTAAAATACTGGTATACTAGTAAATTATCTGAAAATTCTATAAGTATTAAAATTCCTCTGCTCCCAAATATTTATCTTATTTACTGTTAAAGTACTAATATTGTGCTTCCCTACATTGAGACTAACTTTTCAGTTTCAGGCCATTTAGAGTTCAATTCACAGCTTATTAAACTGTGGAAAGTGTTGATGTAATTCTCTAATGTTCTTGCAACTCTGTCCCAAAGCTCTGGAGCACACATGCTATATGGGCCAATTAATTCCCAAATTTCATAACACATGTCAGCACTATAGACAATTAGTACAGAAAAAAAAATTGATTCTCTTTCTGATGATAAAAAATCACATTGGTCATTTAACAACATTCATTGGGGACTTTCTGAGGGTGAGAAGGAGGTGGGGGAGGGGATGGGGATAGGAATGCAAATGAAGGAGGGGAAGTAAAGAAATTAACAAAACAGTACAGCACCTGCTTGCTTTTTAAAAGGTGTTTATAATCTCCTGAAGAATGAGACTTGGAAGAAAAGGGAAGTGCTGTGAGCATTCTGACAATTTTAACTGACAATATAAATAAATGACCTACTCTTCTAGTTTTTAAAATTTTTAAAACTTGTATAGTTACTTTCTCTTTTTTGGTATTGGGGATTGAATACAGGAGGGGCACTCTACCATTGAGCTATGTCCCCAGCCCATTTAAAATATTTTTATTATGAGACAGGATCTCACTAAGTTGTCCAGCCTGGCCTTGAACTTGCCATCCTCCTACCTCAGTCTGCCTAGTTGCTGGCATTTGGGATGTGCACCACTGTGCTGGCTGTAGACACTTTTTAATAAAGCTTGGAATCCAAGTGTTACAGGTCTGGGGCCTTCCGGGAAACTGAGGCTGCACAACCTCCCCTCTCCCCGCCACCTTTCAAACCCAAATTCTTGCAATCAACTCTGAAGATTTCAGACATGTTGCTCAGAGTAACTTCAATGATTTTATTGAAGGGCTAGGATGGGAAAGAGGGCATTCTGAAGGGAGAGAGTGGGTCCTCTCAGAGAGGAGAGGGACAGTGTGTCTCTCCCACACTCCAGTTTTATTGGGGATCCCAGAGAAATTTCAGAGTCCTGCCCAGGTCCACCTCTTGACTTTTGACTGACAGCAGGATGACATCAGACTTTCAAGTCCTCACTGCCATGACAACTCTAGGTCACCTTGGCCCATGCTGACTGGTTCTAATTGGATTTGTAACTATAAATTCTTCCAGATTTTATGGTTAGGAGGAATTATCCTTATCACCCTGGGTTTCCGGATATGGTCTATGAAAAGGGTCACAAAAGTCTACCCCTTTAAGGTAACTTGGGTTCCTCTTATCGACATTATTTGGGGCCTGCATTTCTCCTGCAAATAACAGGTAGTTTGGTGGGGAATGTAACATATCCTGTCCACTTAAGCCAGGCTGGGCTGCAGGTAAATTGCTTCTTGGAAGAGAAAGCATGTGGGGGTCAGCACAGTAGGCCCATTTTATAGAATTATTCCCTAACCTCATCTTTCCTCTATTTGCATCTGTTCCCTATCACAATTTTTTTCTGCAGAGACCCAATTGAGGAGCTAAGATCAGTAGCTAGCTTCATGATTTAAAAGGTTGACAATGTCCAGAACGAGGGGTCCATAGTCAGGAGATGAAATGCCCAACACTTAGAAGTCTTAAGGCACAGCCCCTCACCTCTTAGAGCTTCAGTGGAAAGAATGAGGAAAGCTGTTTGTATACTGAAAGATAGAATCAAAGGTCAGTGGGTGTTACTATTGTTCCCTTACAGGATGATGAAATAGCTTTAGATTGTGACCATTCACCCAGTTCACATACTACCCCAGCAAAGGAAGGACCCAGAAATCCAAAATTTGCTTCCTAATTAGGCTGCCCTCCTTGAACTGAACTCTAGTCCAGTTTTACTTTGTTCTGCAAGTAACTGTCCAGCTTCACTTCCTACCACACTTAGCTCCACCAGCAACTGCTAGAACATTACATACACACTGTTCAGCCCTTCCATAACTGAGCCAAGTTTCTTTCTTTGGCTTCAGGACCTTAAACCTAGTATTTTGCTTACCTCCCCATAGTAATGCTTACCTTCCAGTATTATGGACTGCCCCCTCCACAGGCTGGGAGCTTCTTAAGGACAGTGGTGCACTTTAATCTTTGCACCCCCACTAAGTTATCTTTGGTAAAGATGGACATGGATTATTGAATGGCTGGGTGGATGCCAGCAAGTAAACTATAATTTCTGCCCACAAAGAGCAGGATTGTGACACTTCTACTATGTGTTTATGTGGGTTTCCCCACAGCACTACCACTCTCAATAACATTTTTGTATTATCTTTATTGAGATGTAATTCACATACCAAGTTCACCGATTTAAAATGTACAATTCAGTGGTTTTTAGAATAGTCAGGATTGTGCATCGACCACCACCATCAAACTTCAGAATGTTGTTTTCACTCTAAGAAAGAAAAGCCCACCTATTATCATTCACTCCTCATTTCCCTCCTAGCAACCATCAACTGTCTCTATAGGTTTTTAATTAATCTCTTGCTGTGCCGTACACAGAGGATTACGTATTAGAATGCACCTTTTCCCATGAACAAAAATAAAAATAAAATCTGCGGCAGCTTTGATTTGGTATGAAAAAACGAAATCAATCTCCAACTAGCTCTATGACCTTGGACAAATTAACTGGATTTAGTTTCTTCTTAAGGTGAAGTTTAGAAGGTGTGTAGGGGCACCTTCAGGCTAACAAGCAAACAAGTAAGAACAAACAAAAACAAGAACCCCCACGGCCCAAACCTCCAGGTACATCCCAGAACTCCACCCTAGGTAGCCTGTCCTGGGCTTGGGTGATAAATGGTTGTACACTAACAGGATTTCACACCAGAACCGCCGCAGCCACTGCCCTCCCCGAGATGGTCCCTACAGAAGATGTTTCCTCTTCTTTCCTTTTGGGTCGTCTTTTCGTTTCTGGGTTGGCACAGGAGAGAGAGGGAGGGAGAGAAGCTGCAGAGCCTAGGCGCGGAGGCGCAGCGCGCGGGTGCCCGCAGGAAGCCTCGCCCAG